TGTTAATTTAATATTTTTAATAATTTTTTTCGTTTCACTATAAGTTACCTCACCATCACCCATGTATTTATATTCAAACATATCTCCCATTAATATTAATCTTATTATTATAATAAATAATTTTATTTATGTTATTGATTATAATCTTATAGAACAAATCTTCCAACGTTCATGGAGACACTATGTCAACGGAGAAGAAGCTATTTAAAGGAGAATTATGAGGTGTGCATTTTTCCTTCAAACAACTCTTCCTTGTACTGTTTCTTTCTCGGTTTTATATTATAATATAATAATAAAAGAAAAAGAAGTCTTTTTTGGACTTTATCATTGGGCCATTTCCAAGCCCAACTGGTCGGGGATCGACCAATCAAATCAAATCTGTAGCCCGCCATTTGACATAAAGCTACGGATTTTGTTTTGTTTTTTTTTTTTTTTTTGAGTGAGGGATGTTCAAAGGCCGGCGCCTGCTTCATTATTGTTAGCACTTCAAATCTTCAATTCAATCCCTAAAACTAATTTCAAAAATGAGTTCCAAAGAACGTTGCAGAAACGAGCTCCGCACTGCCATTCACCAACTCAGCGATCGTTGCCTTTACTCTGCTTCCAAATGGTAACCCCTCATAAACCCTAAACCTTATTCTCTCTTTGATATTTCCAATTTCTTCAATAGAAAGATCGAATTTTGACTCTCTCATCAAAAACCCATTTCTCTGAATGCCTTTTTAACTCTTTACTTGGTGTTATCAGATCTCCAAAACATGTCAAGTTGGTGTTTTACTAGGCTTCTTGAAGTAGAAATTGAACTTTTTTTTTAGCAATGCAAATATGCAATGCCTTAATTTGGGCTGCAAAGTTTGTCTTTGCTTTGCTTTCAATATGCCTTTTTGATGATGAAGTTATGTTCTTTATGCTCCATTTTCTCATTGAGATGCAATCCGTCATTGGAATTTTCATGAAGTTTCATTACTTATATACAGGATCTCTACTTGCTGTCTTTAAGCAATGAATCTTTGGTTTGTTTTAATTTACAGGGCAGCAGAACTGCCTGTCGGAATCGAGCAAGACCCAGCGAAGTTCATACCTTCAAACACAAGATTCCAGCGTGGAAGCTCAAATATTCACAGAAGGTACCGGACCAATGAGATCACTTCGACACCTCCCGCTGGTATTGCCTATGTGTCCACTCCAGTTATGGAGTAAGATGAAACGATACATGGTGACTTCTACCTTCTGGCAAAGTCATATTTTGATTGCCATTATAGGAGAGCTGCTCACGTGCTTCGGGATCAAACTGGAAAGAAATCTGTGTTCTTGCGATACTCTTTATCTGGTTTGCTCATTTCTCTTTTCATTATCTTGTAGTAATTTAATTCTCTTGCTGTTTTCATGCTCCCTGGTTATGGTTGTGTGAAATTGAGTGATTATGTGACAGCTATTTCATGTGTGACTTTTTTATGTTTCATAAGCTTTAGTTAACCATCTGTCTCTTTAATGAACATTTGAAAAACATGGTATTTAATGAAAGAGGGCTTCATTTGTACCTCTAGCATGTATTATAACAGCATCTTACTTTATATGGAGGCTTATGGAGGAGAATATTCTGAGTTGGTTAATTATTCATCATCAATGAGATTGACCTTGCTTCAAAGTACAAAAATTGAGGTGATGCAAGTAGTTGATTTGGACATTTATGTTACTTTTTTTCCCTCTTTTCTTGGGCTTAATGGAGAAATTTTGTGACTTGGTTGAGGGAGGAGGGAAAGAGCATTGATGTTGCATAAGTAAATGTTCTCCTGCCCAAGTAGATTAAACTTAAACAATAATACCCTTTCCTAAATTTTGTTTTATGTTTGTTTACAACTTCTATCCTTATTTTCTTTATGATTTGTTTCCATTGCTTGATTAAAACTTTAAAATACATGCATGGATGAGCACCTTAGGTGTTTCCTATCTTATTTGATTAGCATATAAAAAATACAGTTTTGATCCATCACAAGCAGTCTATATGAAAATATTGCTCAAAGAACTTTCAAGAATACAAAGCAACTATGTGCTGTAGTTTTGGAATGATTGTTAGAATCCATATCAAACTTAGTAAATCCTAATCCTGGCATCCATCAAACTTCAAACTTCAAATATCAATGTACTAGTCATATTGTATATTACATTTTTGAAGTTGATCTAAGTTGGCCTAGAGTTTATTGTTGCAAGGAGGAGGAAACTTGAAAGGGACCATAAGAAAGATTTTGGAAGACAGTATTTAGGTTTGTTATTTTAATCCATGAAGGAAACTTCATCAAGGAAAAAAAAAAAAGAAAAAGTGCAAAGCCAGTATGGAATGCAAAGTCTAAGACTGTGTGTGCCTTTGTACTTGAGGTGATACTAAATGGAATGGGGATTTTATTTATCTCCTTGATTTCCCTATTTTTATCTTTTATTTTGGTGTTTAAGTTTGTCAGCCATATTTCCTCTAGTTCACCTGGCATTCAAAATTAGTCCACAGGGAGGGAGCTCTTATCATTGATGCATGATGTAACTAACTGAAAAACTTATGTCATTTATATTAGCATTGAATATGGTATACCTTGTTTATAGGTCATTTATTCTGATTCCAATGGTTCTCCAAGCAATCTTATGTTTCTTTACTTTCCTCTATGTATCATGAAGGCTGGAGAAAAGCGGAAAGAAGAAGAAATGATAGAACTGTAAGGGTCCTTAGGTAAGAGCAATGCTGCAAACCGTGAATTGGTTTCTTTAGAGAGGGAACTATCAACTCTTTGCAAAAATAGCATGATAGATCCTTTTGGATTGTACTTATATGGTCTTGTACTTAAAGAGAAAGGCAATGAAAATCATGCCCGCAAATTTCTTGTGGAGTCTGTGGATAGTTACCCTTGGAATTGGAGTGCCTGGACAGAGTTGCAATCCTTATGCACTACAGTTGACATCTTGAGCAGCCTCAATCTCAGTAATCACTGGATGAAGGAGTTCTTTCTTGCCAGTGCTTACCAAGAGCTCAGGATGCATAATGAATCATTATCAAAATATGAAAATCTACAGGGTACTTTTACATTTAGTAATTACATACAGGCTCAAATTGCAAAAGCCCGGTATAGTCTGAGGGAATTTGAACAAGTTGAAGTGATATTTGAAGATCTTTTAAGGAATGACCCATATCGAGTAGAGGACATGGATACATATTCTAATGTGCTCTACACGAAGGAATGTTTCTCTGCCTTGAGTTTCCTTGCTCACAGGGTAATAATGACTGATAAATACTGGCCTGAATCTTGCTGCATTATTGGAAATTATTACAGTTTAAAAGGGCAGCATGAAAAGTCAGTCATGTATTTTAGGAGGGCACTCAAATTGAACAAAAATTATTTGTCTGCCTGGACTCTAATGGGCCATGAATATGTCGAGATGAAAAACACTCCAGCTGCAGTTGATGCCTATAGACGGGCTGTAGACATAAATCCTCGGGATTATCGTGCCTGGTATGGGTTGGGACAAGCCTATGAGATGATGGGCACGCCCCACTATGCTTTTCATTATTTTCAGAAATCTGTTTTCTTTCAGCCAATTGATTCTCGGTTATCGATCGCTATGGCTCAATGCTATGAATCTGAACAGGTGCACATGCTTGAGGAGGCCATCAAATGTTACAAAAGGGCTGCAAATTGTAATGACACAGAAGCAATTGCCGCGTCGTCTGGCAAAGTTACATAGAGAACTGGGTCACCCTGAGGAGGCAGCATTCTACCATAAGAAGGATTTAGAAAGAATGGAAGCTGAAGAGAGAGAAGGACCAAATATAGTTGAAGCTCTGATGTTCCTTGCTACACACTACAAAGCAAAGAAGAGATTTGAAAAAGCAGAAGTGTATTGTACTCGTCTTCTGGATTATACTGGTCCAGTGAGTTTCATTGTTATTCTGTCTGCATATTATTCAAAATTTTACCCATTTTATGCAAAATTTTTAAACATCTAGATGTTTCAAATGAGTTTAACTTATTTTATTCTTCTCTATTGTTGATTACAGGAGAGAGAAACTGCAAAGAGTTTACTTCGAGGAATGAGAATAGCAAAATCCTGTTTCCTTCCATGGATGTTGAGCATTTTCATCCCTGATTTTCTCATTCATACATGGTTGAAAATATTTTGAAACAGGTATACCTTTCCCTTTGGATTTGGGAAACCAAAGACCAATAAAACCTTTAGGATATGCCAATTCTAGTTGGCTAATTCTTGGTCAGTAGTGCCACAGATGGTATGTTCGCATGTTTGTAATTTTGAAAAAAAAAATCCTCTTAATTCTTTTTATTGTTGTGTTGTAACATAACAACTTGAAATATGTAGTTAGAAGCCCGCATAAACCTTCGAAAGCTCAAGTAGATGGTTTTTTACAAATGTATTGAGGCCTGATAGATCTTATCTCATTACGAACTAGTGAAGTCAGTTTCATAGAAAGGCAACGGGGGACCATGATGCTTCTAATTTGCATTCGGTTTGATCTTGGCTTTACCTGTCATTTTGAGAACAGGATGGTTAGGTTTTTTCAGGAAAGCATTTGTTGCCAAAGACGTGTTACATTTGTTTGGCAAGTGGTCATCCTGCACTCAATTATTGTAAGTCTGCATCTGTTTGTTGGAGAGGAATGTAAGATTATTAGTTTTCTCTTACTTTTCTTTTTTTTTTTTTTCATTTTTTAGCCCATTTTCCCACTTTTTTCAAACTCTCGGACCGTGGCAAGGAATGCTTTAATGGAAATAGATGAAGTGGCTTAAAACTTTTATGTGATGTAGTAAAGTCTAGAAGCAAGGTCAATTTTTAAAGAACTCCCTTATATCTAAACTTGATAGTTTAGAACAAATTCGATATGAAAATAATATAAAAAAATACAAACAAAAATAATAAAAAAATTAACCTGGATTAGAATGTAAATAAAATCCTATTAGTTTAATAAAAACTAAAAAAAAAAATTACATCCATACAATTTCCATGAAAAACATAATATAAATACAAATCAACACACGACATCAATACTCAAATTACCACATCATCACAAATATCAAATCAAGTTCTTAGAACAGGAAATCGAAGCCTAAAAGCAGAATAGTTCCAATCCAAAAATCATATTGCAAATAAATAGTCAATTCATATTAGCTGAAACTCTCTTACAAATTTGAGAGCTTATTCCCTTCAAAAGCACATCAACTAAGCAAAATCAACACAAACTTGCATTACAATCAGCAGATGAAAGGACATCAGATGGTATTGAACCAAGACGTAGGGTTTTTTTTTTTTTCCTCCTTTTGTCAGCATGAAGCAAAGTGAAGCCTCATTTTGAGTCAGTGAAGAAGCTGTTGATGCTGGGCATGATTTCAGGTGCCCTGTTGCGGGCATATTTTCTTAGAAAATGTTCAGCATATTTTTCTCCCTCAGCAAAGTTCTCCAAAACCCCAGCAGCCCTGTTCTCCTTGCTTACCCTGATTCAACTCAAAACATTTCCCAAAAATCAATCTTCCAGTTAATTTTGTAAATAAAAGTACAGTGAATGTAGCCGTTAATTATATAAAACAAAATTAGGATGAAATTGAACTAAAGATTAATTGTAGCAGATTGAAACTAAAAGTCGCTTAAGCATTCTATGCAATCCTTCGGAATTCCTAAAAACAAAAAATTCCCCTGCAATATGATGTCAACAACTTCAACTTGCATCAAAATTTCACATAGCTTGTCATAAATAAATATATTAAAAAATCATTTTTTTAAAAAAATTCAAGTTATAATTTTTTAAAAAAAATCACAAATAAATATATTAAATATGCAAAAAAAAACGAGTTACAAGCTTGAGAGAGAGAGAGACCTGACTTCAGGGTTGATGCAGATATTGCGCACCAACTGGAAACCACAGATCCCCACAGCAACACCAACAGCCGCGAACAGCGGATACACCTATACAGTTCACCCCCTTTGTATTTAGTATTTTTTTTCTTTTTTATATCTGAAGTATTTCTTGTTATGAATTATCAGATCTACCATTTTATCTACCATTTTACTATGATCTAAAGAGAAAAGGAAAAAAAAAAAGTGAAAGAATTCGAAGCCGTGGATATGAGCTTTTACCTCAAGTCTCAACCATCGGTTTGCCATTGAGCGCACTGCAAGCACACAATCAAAGTGATGGATAAGTCAAAGGGAAAAGAAAGAGCGCTTTGAAATGAAAGAGAAAGCGAAAGGAATATGACAAGAAGAAAACGAAGACTTCTTTTTCTTTTATCTTGATGACTAATTGCTTAGGGCATTTCTATTTTTACTTGTACATGGTTGAACCTGACTGGTTAGCAGAGAGGGAACATGTGGGACTTGTCCAATATCTTGATTCCACGTGGACACTTCGTCCTTCTTGAGATTCCCTGACGATTGAATTATTGCTTGTTAACTTATTTGCTCGCAAAAGAAAAAAAAATTGCATCCAATAATTTTAAGACTGATACGAAGAGATGACATAAAAATAATAAATATATATAAGTGATTTGGCTTAAAATTGATAAAAATATAGGCCTGAATATGAGATTTAATGATTTCGGATTTTTTTATAATTTGATTTAATATAAAATTAAACATTTTAAAATACTTCAAACAAAAATTTTATAACAAAATTGTAAATCACACGCCGTTAATTCTAACACCTACTAAAAAACGGTTAAAACTGGTGAAAAAACAAAAAAAAAAAATATTTTCTCTCGTTTTCTTGTCTTATATTTCTTTAGCTGTTCTCTCGTTTACACCACTATGCGCATTCCTTTCCCTTCAAGTGAGACCTCTTGCTGCTTTCACTTCCATTTTACTACCAAAATCACTTCCAGGAAACTTCAAAGCCTTTACTCTATTTCGGCTTCCACTTTTCAATCTCTTTTCTTTTTCTTTAAAGCTCCCAAGCCCATCGCATCCCTTTTTGAGGTGATGTGGATGTAATCAAAGAAAATAAAAAAGTTACAGTCCTCATTTCAGTGAGAAACCCAGAACAAAAATCTGAACATGAACAATAGAAAAAAAAAGGGTATGTTTCGGTTAGGTTTTAGGGATTCTAGGTATGTGCTCATTTCACTGAAGGAAATAAGGGGACAGAAGAGGGAGATCGGGAAGCTGACGACTGATAACGATGGGAAGAAGTAGTGCCGACAACTGGCGGCTGAGCGAAGGGCCCCCAATTTGGCTAAGAAGAAGGAGAAGAAAGAGAAGAGAAAAGATGAGAGAAGAAAGAAGTAGAAGGAAAAAACCAAGTAGGAAATTCCCTATATTTTGTGATAAAAAATATAATTTTATCCTTATTTTTCTGTAACATAACTTTATTTTAACGCGTGTACACCACACTTCAGAGTTTTGTTTTGAATTAATTTGAAAATATTTAATTTTACATTAAATTAAATTAAAAATGATATTTTTAATTAAAAAAATTTAAATATTACATTTTAAATTGAATGTTTAGTGAAAAATATATATAAATTTGATAAAAATTAAAAATAAATTTTATATTTAATATATCAGTATAAATTATATTATGATAATTTTTTTATTTTATAAGTATTTAATATGAAATAAATATAATTCAAATATATAAAATTTTAACTTTTATTTTTAAGTTTTTAAAATTAAATTTAAAATCTAAATGGTAATTAGTAGATTAGCTATCTTTCTTTTTAATTTTTTTATTATTTTTAAATAAATTCAATTTTGACCATTATTTTGACAAAATCATAACATTATAAAAATTTTAAAACAAAATTTACAAATTGTAAATTTCAAAATTTTCTTTTATCCTTTTAAAAAGGCACAATTAAAAATGAGTTGATTTCACTCTTGTTTTACTAAGTGCAATCCAGAAACATATGTAGCCGAGAAAAAAACAGCTTCATTAATATTAGATCGATTTATATATTTGCTTTATATAAGAATAATCAATGACAAAATAGCAGGTTTCATGTAATTTAATAAAATATTTCTAACAAGTTATTTGATATTATTTATTATTTAATAAATATATTATTTGATATATAAATATTTTTAATAATTTATTATTTTTATAAATATTAAATAAATTATTTTTATGTTAAATAAATAAATATTTAAATGTAATTGTATATCTAACATCAATTATTAATATAATTAAATGTAATAAAATAAATTATTAAATTTTTTTTTAAACAAATACTGTTAAAATATATTAAAATATATTATTAGATACCTTATACTTTCATAATCAAATACAGATGAAACCAACATACGAATGTATTTAACTTTATTAAATAATATAATTTATGGGAGAATCACTTTGATGATAGATTTTGCAGACGGAACGTCTCTGAAAGTATTTTTTAAACACACAACTGGTTCATAATGGGAATTGAAAAATTAAAAATTAGCCGAGAATCAATAGACGAATCAAACTAGTACTTCTCAAATCACAAAAGGTAAGATATGTATGGCATAAGCATAGGAAGGAGCTGTCAATTCAAGATTCAATCCCAGACATGAAAGGACAAAGCGAATCCCCATCTCTTCCCTTGGATTCTCAAATCCACACTGCAATCTCAAATAAAAAAGAAAGAGATCGATAAAGCGTAAACTACGAAGCAAATGCAAATCAAAGATCGTACCTGATAGCTTTTAATTATTATTACAGCATTAGTTAAATTATTATATTATTATTATTTGTAGGATTCAAAAAGGACGAGAGTTAAAGATCTGACCGTTCATGAAAACGGAGGCAAAAAGAAAGATTGTGAAAAGATCTTTTTTTCTTTTTGCTTCGAGAAATGGAGCCACGCCATCCGTTAGTCACCGCATCAGGTAATAATTTTTTTAAAATATCATGTTGTCCCTACAAAACGGTGCGTATTAATCCGCCCGTACGTCGCTCACCGTATCTTGCAAGTAGGTGAACGGCGGAGCCAGGTCCAGGCGGCTTTCTCTCTTTCTTTCTTTCTTTCTCTTTTTGACGCCGCCGTTTTCGATTTCAGGTCTTCAAACTTCAAAAGGACTAATAGTTGTATTTTTCTTTAAATAGATAAATAAATAAATAAATTTAGTGAGATTGGCTGAGAGTCACGATCTTGACCGTTGATCTTTCTTTTCTTTTTTTTGAAGTCAAAGAAAAAATATGATCCAGTGCATCGTTAGGAGAAAAAAATCTTAAAAATGAAAATTACAAAATCGCTTTTAATCAATTTCATGAAAAATTGATTAAAGTATTGCTTGAATTTTTAACCAGTAACCCTGGTCTCTCCATTCATGGACTTTGAATAATTTTACAATAAATCGTCAAGTTATTATTAAGGTTTTGTCTCATTAAAACTTTTATTATTTGGTTTTTAATATATAAATTAAATAACATATAAATGATTAATGTCATGATTTATGAAAGATTATTAAATTATAATAAAATATTTAATATGATATTTAAAATTTAAAAATATTTAATATGATATGTAAAATATTATTTATTTATAATATATTTTCATTTAAAAATAATTACGTTGAGTATCATTTTAATTAATAAATTTATAATTAACATATTATATTAAAAAATTTTAAATTTAAGTACTATGTTAAATATTTTATTGTAATTTATAAAATTATTCATAACATTAATCCAAAAATAAATTATGAAATATAAACTAACAAAATTTAAATATATAATAATGTAAATGATTTTGTTTTTACAATTGATAATATAATGTGTTTCTAAACTAGAATCTGATATGCTTAAGAGAAACAATAAATGAAAATAGAGATGAATTTTAGTCGAGTAAAGTTTCAAGGATATGTACAAGTAAATATGTACTTGACAATTTTTATATACAAGTAAATATAAATGTTGAGATGCTTAAAGAGAAAAAAAAAAATTAAGGTTTCATTTGATTTGAGAAAATATTTTTTATTTTTATTTTATTTTTTAAAAAATGTATTTGATAAAAAAATAAAAATTATTTTTTAAAATACAAAAATAAGGAAATAAATAAAATACCTATAACTGTTAATGTCGTTTAATTATAAATATAATATATATTTATTAATTAATGACACTAAAAAATGTTTAAATATGGTGACTTATAAAACGTACAGAAAAAAGTTTTTAATTATTCGTTTTTAGGGTTTTAAATTAAAAACAAAAATATATTTGGTAGGTTATTTTTATTTTCTATTTTTTAAAACTGAAAACAAAATTTTTAAAAGTTTTAAAAATGATTAAAAACAGAAAAATGGTATTTTCAATTTTTTGGAAACAATTTGGTACTGTTATCACATGAGTACTATTCACATAAATTACAATTAAACAGCTACAGTGGCATTAATCATTATATTAAAAAATAATATTTGTATTATATTAATAAATATAATTATATTTATTACATAAAATAATATTAATAAATAATATAATATATTAATAATATATTATATTATTTATTATTATAATATTATTTATTTATTAATATATTATTTTTAATATATTAATTATATTAATACTATTATATTATTAATAACAAATGAAGTCTAAAAACTTTAATCACTTTCTTTTACATTTTTTTCACATTTTTAAAACAAAACCATTTTATCCAAACATGTTTTCAAATTTAATAAATTGAAAATAAAATAAAATAATATAATATAATATTTTCAAAAACATAAAATATAAAATATATAACAATACCAAACGACCATTAAATATGTGAAATTAAAAAAAAAGGGTGTTTGAATAGGTTATTTTAGAAATTTAGTTTGTAAAATTAGCATTATTTGTTTGAGGTATGGTTGTTAATTTTGAACATGATCTGATATTAGAAAAGACAAAATGTATCTAATGGGTTACATATTTTCTTTTGAAATATTTATTTTAGAAACTTTTAAGATGATAAAAATTTCTAAATTTGAAAATATTTTATATTTAAATAACCAAATAATAATGAATAAAGAATAATAGACCATTCAATTAAGGTAATGAAAGATAACATAATTATATTACTTGGTATGATCCTTTTGATGGATTGCGAGATATTAATATTTTTTTTTATGTAATTGTACTTTTAAATTTAATTTTTTAATATAAATTAGAATATATTTTTAAAAAAGTTTTTTGTTTACATAAAAAATTATAATCTGAAAATAAAAAAAAATTATAAATATTAAAATTTAAAATTTAAACATATTAGATGTCACTTATATAAATCTATTGAGCTAAACTACTAGTTCATATCTTTTTAAGGAGTTTGGGTCAAATTTTCAAATTTCTTTATATTTGATAATTTTAATTAGATAACAAATTGTACTTAAAAAAATTTATGATAATTCTTTTTATATTGAGCGATCTAAGTTTGCGCGTCATGACAATGAGATAAGGTTCAAGTTGAGAAAAAGTCACTTTCCCTCGACCCATAACCTTCTATGTGCTCGTTTGGATTTTATCGAATTCCTAGTGGGGTTGCTGTTGTTATGGAAAATAGTGCTAAACGCATTGAAGAAATCCAAATGGAGCAGCATGATATTACAGTTGGCCACAGCCGGTCACCGGCCAAATTTACTCCGGTTGCTTCAACACACTAGGTTTTTTTAACTTTCATTTTTTTCCCTTTTTTATTTTTAAAGTTTAGTTATAAAGAGAAAAATATCTTTACAAGTTTTCTTTTTTCATTTTTTCTTATTTATTTTTTACTTAATAATTATAAAATAAATAAATAAATAAAATTTATTAGTATATAATAAATAAATAAATTTTAATTACTTATTATCAAAACTATTATTTGATCATTTTAAAATTATTTATTAATTTTATAAAATTTAAATAATTTAAAATTTTTTATTATATATATTTTTATTTAATGTTCTTAATAGCTAGTTCTCTTACTATAATTCATTTTACTACCATCATTACGTTTGCATTTAAATATATATTATTATCATTAATTTTAATCTTACAATTATAATAATTAATTTTACATACATCATTATTTTTAATATCATAAGAACTAATCTCACCAATTATTCAAATAAACCCTATATTTAATACATGGTTAAGCCAGTTTGAATTTAATGTAACTATATTCATATCAATTTATTTATGATAAAATAAATTGGTATGTCTAATATGTCAACACGTATAATACAAATATAACTTACATAACTCATTTAAATAATTATCTTGATCATATTAATAGTAAAAAATAGCTTAAATATAAAAAGATTTTTAAATTAAAATGAATTAATTATTAATATTACAATTAATAAGATTTTTAAAATATTTATTTTTATTTAATTAAACACTAAATATTTGTTTGCCTAATTAAAACCTCAAACATAAATGCAAAATACCATATCCATTTTCATTAAAATTTAAAAGTTGGATTCCAAATGATTATAGAGAAAAATTAATAAATAGCATATGTGGTATTTTAATTTTAAATTAAATTTTATTTTAATTTTTGAACAGCAAAAAATTTTAATTAAGTATTTAATTGTCCAAATATGAATCAATATAATATTTTTAGTAATGGAACTAGGGATAGTAGCCTAACTCATCTCCAACAAATTTTAACTCAATCCGCTCTCTTAAAATCAAAATTTTTTTTAAATCAAATTTCGAATAAGATAATATTAAAAAATAATTGATATTGGATTGAAATCATATTTTAAGTAAACTCACCCTATCTCGACCTAATATATATATAAATTTATTTTTATATTTATATTAAAATTTAATATTTTATTAATTTCGAATCAAATTGAATTGTTACGATTTTATATAATATTTGATCAAATTAAATTTAAATATAAAAAATTTAAAAAATCAAATCAAATTTAAATATTATAAATATAAAATTAAATCGAGTTGAAAGTGAACAAAAATCAACCTTTATTCGGCCCATTTTCATCCCTAAGTGAAACCGACTAATTTAACAAAAAAATGTTAGGTGGCATAATACGTGTTAAAAAAAATTAAAAAAAAAAAGAAAGCAACAACTATTACCACTACAACAAAAACTCGAACCATGCCATACTCAGCATCTCCATCATCTCAACTTAGCCAACCACCAAACCAAACATGTCGAAAACACATACACAACAAGAAAGAAACTAATGAAACCATCAATAGACTCAGAGCTGTATTAGCCCTAACAAAACTAACACACCAACAACCTTACCTTTACTTTCACGACTATCCATCACGGTAGCCTTCACCTCTCTAAGTCACCTCTTATCATCACCACTTGTTACTTCCACTACATCTCACTTGAAATATAAATACCACTAAAACCCCCCACCAAACAGGCTCTTCACCTACATGGTTGATACTTACCCTAAAAAAAAACACAATTGGCAACATTAGAAAATTTTAGCTATAATTTTCTAAGTAACAACACAATCACTACAAGCACAAAAAGCCATAACAAAAATAGTTTCAGAAAGGAGATTTTGGGTTTTCATAGTTCGAAAAAGATTTTTGACTTGAAAGTTGAAAAAAAGAAAGAGCAAAAAGAGACGAATAATATACTAAAATTTCTGGCCATATAAAGCAGTGGAAAGTTGTATCTTTTGGGATAAAACTGTTGTTTTTGCTTGTAAATCTACCATTTGGATAAATAGAAAGAGGAGGAAAAAATGAATCTTTGGGTGAATTTTGAAAGTAAATCGATGTTGAAAGATGCAATCGATGACGGAGAATAGTAGCCAATTATCAATTTTTGGAGTTTTAAGTGGCTGTCAGCATTTGTTTCAGAGAATAAAAGATTTTGCTCTTTAGTGGGAGAGAATATGAGTTAGAGAGAGAAAGGAGAAGGAAAGAAGACGGAAAACAAGAAAAGAAAAAGGAAACAAAAATGAAAAAGTTAAATAAAAATACGTTTATATTAAAAAAAATGATTAAATACAAAAATGATCTCTATATTATATAGTATTTATTAGTTTGGTATTTAAAAAATAAAAATTTCACTTTAATACCAAAATTTTCATTCCGTTAAGCATTTTTTGTACTCTAATTTAGTATTATTAATCAACTTGTTTATGTGATATTAATATTCCATAAAATCAACATAAATGTTAAATTATCATTTCATCGTCTATTTTTCACGTCAACATTTTAAAACAAAAATTAAAATAATTTTTTAATTCAAAATTAAAAAAATAAAAGAAAAAAATGAAAAGTATAAAAAAAAATTATTTTACTGACGTGTCAATGATTAAAAATTTATAATAAATATCATAATTTTATTGAATATTTATGTTATGTCAATCATTTAATTAACAGTAATAATATAAAATATTAAAATATTTGATAAAATAAAAATTAAAATATCAAAATAAAAATTTTATTTTTTAAAATATCAAATTGATAAAAAATATATAATATAAAAATATTTTATGTAATAACCCAAAAAAAATGAGATTTTTTAATTTCACATATTTATTATTCAACATATGTCATATGAAATTTTTTGTCAAATTAAACAATTTCGTTCACAGAGGAAATTATTAATTCACATGGGCAATTAAAAACGCAGATTAAAATTTTTAAAATTTTAAAATCCAAAATAAGAGTTAACCTAAAATTTAAAGAACCTATTTACGATATAAAAAATTGACATTCATATCTCACATAAACATTACTCCATGTTTAACTTCGCTACAGTTAAGGAAAGTGTCAAGTCATTTTTTAAGACAAAAAGCATTTCCTATACTAAAGGTCAGAGCAATGAGGCATAGGCATGACGAATTTTACTTCTTTTTTTTTTTTTTCAATAGTCCTTGTTTGGAAAATTATATCAGTATAAATAAAATCATAATTACTCTTTTATTACTAAAAATTTTCTTTTTGTTGATAAAATTAAAAATAATAATGATAATAAAATTAAAATTAATATTTATTTGATAATAATAAATAATAACTAAAAAATTAATTATGAGAATCTAAAACTCTAATACCTTAAAGCAGGAAAAAATTAAAAAAGTAATCGATTACCTCATTTTATATTGAGGCAAGCTAATGTCCGAAACAATAATTTTGTTTTGATTTTACATTGAAACAGTCAGAATATCTTGATAAAAAGGTTGACGATCTAAATTCATTGAACCATGAACTCTTCCTAGCGTGGTCACCAACTAGATAAAGAAATTAATCTAACTGCACCGCACGACGTAGTTGGGAACAGATAGTAACTTGGATTTGAGCATGATAGACCCTAAATAGCTACTGTTGTTAGCAAGCGAAACGTCACTTATGCGACTTGTCTTCTGCCTCAGTGCTGACCACACCCTCCATTATAGTAATTTACGTACAATACCATTCAGGGATCCGTTGCCCTTTCCCTTTTCGTTTTTTTTTATTACATTTAAAATGGAAATTAAAGCAGTAGCAGTCGTTGAAATTTGACGGGACAAGAAACAAAAACAAGTGGGGGATAATGCTCTTCAAAGATTTGCAAAGATCTTACGAAATTGGATCCTCAGAATCTTCACCTTTCTGTCTCTATCTCTCTCTCTCTCTCTCTCTCTCTCAGTGACTCTTTCCTGTCTCCTTCCTCTCCTGCCCCTTCTTTACTTTAAAGCCGAAGCACCCCACATTTTTCTCTTTGTACAACACTCTATTTTCTTTTCTTTGCCTCGCATATAAACACCTTAAGTCTCCATACATTCAGAAAAAGAAAGCAAAAGACCACGCAAGATAGAGCTTCTTCCATTCTCCTACTGGGTTATGGCGGTTGTCGGTGAGGTTTTACCATCTGGGTCACAGGAGTTGCATGTTCTTGCCGTGGATGATAGCCACGTGGATCGTAAGGTCATTGAAAAATTGCTTAAGATATCTTCTTGTAAAGGTATTGCTTACTTCAATCCTTTTTCTTTTTTTTTTTTACTGGTTTTTGGATCAAAATTTGTCGTTTTTAGCTGATTTTGAAGATTGGGTTTGGGTCTTCATTTTGTGCAGTTACGGCTGTGGAGAGTGGGACAAGAGCTTTACAATTTCTTGGTTTGGATGGGGAAAAAGGGTCTCTGGGATTCAATGTGAGTAGTTTTTATCGTTTGGTTGCTGAGAAAGTAGGAAAAAAAAAGAACTTCTGAATTGAATGTTCTGTTTTCAATGAAGTTTTGTTCTTTTGAGTTTTCTTCTCTATCATACTTGCATTCCTCAGTAATGAGAAGAAAGGGAGGATTGATTGTTTTTATTTTATTTTGTTTGTTTGGCTTTATTCTGTTCTCTCTTTTGGATGGTGTTTTTATGGTTGATTAGGTCATTACGGCTGTGATCACAGGGTTTGAAGGTGAATCTTATAATGACAGACTATTCCATGCCCGGGATGACCGGATATGAGCTCCTCAAGAAGATCAAGGTTTGTAGCCTTGTTGCTATTTATTTGACCAGCTAAATCCTAAAACTGATTTCAAGATTGAGATGAAATTTTTGCATTTGTATGGTTGATTATGTGTAATTTGATTTGTATTTTATAACAGCAATCATCGGCTTTTAGAGAAATTCCTGTGGTGATCATGTCCTCTGAGAACATCCTCACCCGTATTGATAGGTGTGCTCGTCATTTTTTTTTTTCTATTTTTTTGTTTGCATCAGAATTTGGAATTGACTTGTATTCATATTTTGGATTTTAAGTGTAAATATTAGTGAAAAAAATCTATAATGATTGATCCATGCTGATTGTTCTATCTGCTGGTGATTTTATGGAACCCAAATCTGTTGGGTGGATCTGGAGATATATTCTAATTCATTTCTCTATTTTTGATTACATTATTTTAGATCAAATCTGGGAAATTTTACATGAAAGCACCTTTTAGCCTTATCCCGTGGCTTGAAACCGTTGGACTAAAATTGCAGTGAAGGAATCTCATGGATTGTATGGATTTTAGAGCCACTAGTGATAGAGATGTGTCAAAAAAATATTTAATCTTTTTATAGGAGAGAGATTTTTTAAGCATATCAGTAACTATAGGATTAGCCGAAGAATTTTGTAATCGGACAAAATTGTAAAGATTGTATACTTGTATGGATTTGTATGGGAAACATATCAACCAAAATCTTGATTACAAGATAAGATGACCTGTTTAGTTGTTATGCCTTCTGAAGATCTCTTGGGTATAATTCCTTTTATTTTATAATTGCTGTAGGATTGAAAATTATTGAAGGAAATAGGTTTTAGTCTTTTTGATTTTCCGCATAAAATATTTGAACTTGTCAATCAAAGAACAGAATATCTGGTAACGAAAGAGGAAGAATATTGTGAGTAGTAGCTGTGATTAGAAGTTATTTACAGCTTAGGTGTGATGTAGATACTAAAACTGAAATGGATTCCTTCATGGAATGATACTGGGCCTGGGATCGATGACTGGTACTGATGCAACAGTGATCATGGCAAGGCCTTCCCTCTTATTTGATGAAACTTCTTGCGATTAGTTGTGAGTGCAACTTGAAGATCATTCCCATGAAGATGTAAATTATGTGGTTTAACCTGGTTCTTTTCAATTGCTTTCGATGTGAATGTGTTGCCGTTCGTTTTTCTCACAAGTACTTATGCATCGTCTTTCATTAACTTATGTTGTTTAAATGCTATCACGAACAATGGCTAAAAACATTCTTTTCATTGACAGGTGTTTGGAGGAAGGGGCAGAGGAGTTCCTAGTTAAGCCTGTAAAACTGTCGGACGTAAAACGGTTGAAAGATTTCATAATGAGAGGAGAAACAGAGGAAAACGGAGGGAGAAGAGTCCACAAAAGAAAGTTTGAAGATGATAGCCATCAGTCATCATGGTTATCGTCATCAACACCATCATCACCTTCATCGCCGCTATCACCCTCACCTTTTACTGCAGCTCCTTTAGCCTGTGATCTAGCAACCTCAGAACTACCAGCATCACCTCTGCATTCATCAAAGAGGGCTAAATTGTGCAACAGTGACTAATACCCCTCATCCTTTTTTTCTTTCTTCTTTCAGTGGTAAATTTTTTGAATATATCCTCGTATTTTCCCGGATGCGGGTCGCTAGGTGAAAGATAACTTCGGTGTATATTGCATTTAACCCTGGCCTATTTACGATCAGAAACAGAGATACGGATAGAGGAAGAAATTACAAATGATATTCCTTTTTTCCATGTAGGTAAAGAAACGTCACCATAATCAATGAAGAGTACGGTCGATTTATCTGGAATTTCAGATTTTAGCTTGCATTGTAGGTGGACTGTACGTTAAACTAATGCAGTGAACAGTTATGATTATGAAAAAGTATAGAAATAATGAGTTCCCGTCTGCAATATGAATTAGGATATAGTATTATCAAAAATGCAGATGACAATCAGCCCCTTGATAGCATTTCTCAGGATGATACTCTTACATCCAATGCAAAGTTGATCATTGAGTGTGATAGTTTTCTAATCTTTGGAGTAGTTGAATGATTGTTTAAAATGACATCAGCTACATAAATAGCAAATGGATAATTGCTCCCCAATTGCGTTTCACAATATATATGTGAAGCTACGGTATCGTTACTTCACCATAGTAAGATTATAGTCCATGAAAAGCTTCTACTTCTCCAATGAAAACCCTAGATGGGAGATTTTCCACTTATTTTACACTGATCTAGATGTGTTGTGAATTTAAACTACTATGACCATCATCAGGAACCATGGCCTTGGAAGATGAAAACAGTCGGAAACAAATAGCGATCTAAATTCAGTTTAACACGATGCCAGAAGAGAGAAATTTCCGAATTTTCCAATGCAGAAGACAGCAGCTACCATTGAATAGGAGAGATTCATCAATATCTGCTCCAACCCGACAAGCCGTGTTGCAGAAATTTAAGGAACATTCTGTGGTAACAGTGAGAAAACTGGTTTTTTAATGGAAATGAAAGGGTTCTTAGCGGAGTGTGATGACGAACTGAAGGTAGTAAGAGATGAACAAGTAATGTTTATGGAACTCGTGAGAGGACAGCAGAATATTACCAGGCAGGAGCATCCAAAGAGGGGAGCAAATCCACTTTTAACTCTTTGTTATTGTTTAAAGATTTTCTTGACATAGTTGGAGTACATTACAATAACGCTGCAGCGTACGAAGAGGATACACTGTAGGATCATCACCACCACCATCACCATCTAAGAGGAATCCGTTCACAATTCATGTCATCAGACATGTTTAGGAAAACTTCTTTCAGCGAATCATATGATGATTTCTAACAAGAGTTTGCTACAACTTTCCTAATTTTTTGCTTCAACACGTTTTAACAAATTGAACTATTATATTGATGATTTAATCAATGAACCGCAGGCACCATTTTGCATCCTTGTTTTAATCATCAGACATGACAAAAACACGTCCATGGCATTGGCAAAAAGTACCTGCAATGTGCTCATTAGGGTCTCGACAAGCAACTGAGGTTAATTCATGGTAGCCAAATCCATGATTGCTTTGTGATTTCTATGAAGTGTTGTTTTCATTCAATTGCTTTGTCTCAGTGCCAGAGCTAAATCATTCCATGTCAAAATCTACATGTCTTTTTAAATTTTTATTTTTATTTTTTTATTTTCAGGTATTGCCATCCCTAGCTGCAGGGGACTAGAATGATCTTGAGATTGCTAGAATGAGCAGACGTGGCTAGATTCCAATCAAGAAGGTTCTGGTCTGGGCCTTTTTTTTGTTTCGGGTCTATTTTGGGCCTAAGCCCTTTACAACAACCCAATAATGTAAACATTAACTATTAAGTTGAAATGTTGACCAAAGTTACCACTAGAGTTGAAAGTGAGTCGGCTCTGAATGACTTTGGTTCTCTTCAGCATCATTCGTTTTTTTTTGTGTTGCTCGTGATCTGTTTAATTTGATTAAAAATTGTGTTCAAACTCCTATTCATATATATTTTAATTAAATAATAAATATATTTATAAATATATAATCCAATATATTCATGTACAAGTAAAAATCTGGTCGTAAGCAATAAACACGGAACATCCAAAATTCTGAGCAAATAAATAAATTATAATAAATATATACTAATAAATAACAATTAAAAAATACATAATCATATAAGTCAAAAGAAAAAAAAATCAACTTATCATTTCAATAAAGAAATACAATAACAATAAAAGATATTAATATTATTTTATTCCTTTTAAACAATAAATGAGTTATAAACAATTTTTAATTAATTCGAATTTATTTGTAAATATAGAGGAAATTAGCATATTTTGTGCAAAATCAACTTGTTTCTTTGGTCAGAAATCAACTTGTTTATTAAATGAGTTTTAAAATTATATTTAATTTACTAAACGAATAAAAATAGAATTCATTCACGAGTTATTTACGAATTGTTGTGTTCATTTGGAGTCCTACTTACCACTCTATCTAAAAGGTGTATCAAATTTTTTAGCAATTTTCAAAGAATATAACTTGATTATTTGTATTTTCATAATTTGATTCAATAGTAATTAAAATTTCCATAAAAATATTTTGTGGATTTTGAAAATTTTCTTACAAAATATTCATTTTAATTGTTAATTTTTCTATTATTTTTAACTGAACTAAAAGTATAATATTAGAGCTATATATTCTCGTACAAAGATAAAGGTAAATTCTTATGAGAAGTATTTTGAAAAATAAAAATTTAAATTAATCAAATTAATATAAAATAATACATTTTAAAGATTATTTTAATAAAAAATTAATCTCAAACATTAAATTAAACTATTATCCAAATTAACTCGCTAGTTCAACTTAAAATACGGGTGACCCCTGCAATGGGCTGTTGAAAATATCAAAAACTACTATATTATTTTAGTTGATATTTTCAAGATGGAATTTATACCTACGCCCTATCGTCCTTTCTCTCCATTTCCATGATAAATTTTATTCTATTTGACAGGAGATGCTGCCTGTCAGCCTCAAGTTTTAACAAGATGGTTTCCCAATCGATACGCACCATCCAAAAGTCACAAATCAAACGCACGGGATAAAGAAATATTTCTAAATAATGTAATTGGCTTGACCTCAGTGACTCAGACAGTCAGAGTCGCTTCTGCAATTTCACACTTCTGCTACAACGAGTACGAGCGCGAGTCAAACGAATATCAGTTTTGCTTGTCAGAAAATGTTAGTCAATGGTATTTCAATGACCAAAAACTTCATCATCCCAGATGCCATTCACATATTAGCCCCCAACAGTACGTAATTGGAAGGGTCCTTTTTTTTTTAATTCCTTTTGTGGGATTAAAAAGGCTATTGCCATGAACTTTTTCAGTATTCATCTCCTTTCAGCTTAACCTTAAAACACAAGAAAAAGAAAGCAAAACTTCTAACTAAAACTTCCAAGATTTGCAAGTTCTACAAGAAAATGGATAGCCATACGCTTGGAGAAATTACAGGCTTCCGAGAAGAACTCATAAAGAAAGCATGTTCAATTGCCATGGCAGCACACAAGTCACAGACAAAGCCATACATTGCAGAAAAGTCTCGAACCTCATCGGATGTTTTATTCAGTTTCCCTGGATCCTGGTCTGTGGGTCATTGGTTTACTCGACAACCTTTTGGGGAAATCAAGGTTGATCAATCAGAGTTGCTGTCTCCCATGGGCAACGATAAAGTTGCCACATCTCTTAGAAGTATTGGTTGTGATGAACTTGCAACTGTTAATGAAGGGTTTTTGAGAAGATTAGAGATGATTTTATCAAATTCTTCCCTTCAAAAAGAGGTACCAATTACCATTGACTTGATATTTCTGTTTACTTTTTCACTTTGAATTCCGCCAATATATATATATTTACTACAAATAATATTCCTTGTTTCTCTTTGGCTTCACTTTTCTGCTTCAAAGCAGAACTCGTATGGGTAAGAAGTTGATTATTACTTTTTATATACTAAAAGAAGTTGATTAGTTTGATTTTAATTTGGTATTAATTTTGCTGAGATTGTGGGATAGACTCAATTTACTAACATGTTCTAGTTAATCTTACATGGGATAAAAAAAATAAAAGAATCCGAGTTTTGTTCAATTATTTCATGCATATATTAATATATTTAAAGTGTCAGATCTAAGACTCAAATTTTTAAAACTTAAAATTTCTTACCAACCCCAAACTAGGGACTCGTTTGTAAAAAAAAAAAAAGGAACGGATGGTGCATTAAAAGTAAATTATTGGCCAAAGTAATCAAAGTAAATACCCATAGCTTGAACTTGATAGCTATAGATTTTGATATTTGTCAGGTTGAAAAAGCTAATACAGAGCAGAAGCAGATAGTTTTCACTGGGCATTCTTCTGGTGGTGCTATTGCTATCCTAGCAACAGTTTGGTTCTTGGAGCAGTACTTTAAACCTAAGAAAACTGGGATGTCACCTCTTTGTGTGACTTTTGGATCCCCTTTTGTTGCTGATTTCATTTTTAACCATGCTCTTAGACGAGAGAACTGGTCGAACTACTTCCTACATTTTGTGATGAGATATGATATTGTCCCTCGGGTTTTGTTTGCCCCTTTGTCTTCCATGCAACGAGAACTAGAGCAGATTCTTTATCTGTTAAACCAGAAGGCAAGGAATTCAATTCAGGGATCTATCGCAGAAGCATCAAAGTTTTACCAAACTGTGATGAGAAATGCATCAGCTCTTGCCAGCCATGCCGCCTGTCAGCTAATGGGAAACGCAAACCCCATATTGGAAACAGTAGCAAGCTTCATTAACCTAAGCCCTTATAGACCCTCTGGAACTTTTGTCTTCTGCACTGGAAATGGGAAGCTGGTTGTGGTGAGAAACGCGGATGCTATTCTGCAACTACTGTTCTACTCTTCTCAGTTGTGCTCCGAGAATGAACTTGAAGCCATTGCTGAGAGAAGCCTTAACAACCACTTTGGTTATCGAAGTGAGCTTCAAGAAAGCTTAAGTAAGCAAAATGTTGTTAACTTAGATCATTTGGAAGGGCTTCCACTCTCCTCAAATGGCGCAGCAGCTGAGAATATAGCAATAAATATGGCCTTAACTGACCTTGGCCTGGTGAGTTCCTTCTTCACTTTGTCAATAAACATAGCAACAAACAAGCCCTTCACTTGATCACCATAGACTTTGAAAGTTTTGTTATTTCCAATATGATCTAATATCTGGTGTCTTGGAATTCCAGAGCACTAGAGCCCGGCTGTGTCTTCGCGCTGCAGGAGAGCAGGAGAAGCAAAAACTAAGTAACCAGCAAATAATGGATAAGAAGAAGAAAGACATTGATAAAGGACTAGCAGTGCTAGAAGAGTACAAGAACAAATCTGCAGTTTGCCAGGTAGGCTATTACGATGCCTTCAAGATTTCAAAAGACGTGGATGATTTCCAAGCAAATGTAAAGAGGCTGGAGCTAACAGGAATATGGGATGAGATAATTGAAATGCTTAACAGGCATGAACTCCCTGATGGATTTGAGAGCGAAAAAGATTGGGTAGAGCTTGCGACCAAGTATCGTCGCATTGTTGAGCCATTGGATATTGCCAACTACTATCGACATGCAAAGAATGAAGACACAGGACCCTATATGCACAAAGGCAGGCCAAGACGATACAGGTACACCCAAAGATGGCTTGAACATGCCTTAAGAATGCCTGTTGGATCAAGTGAAGAATCCTGTTTCTGGGCTGAAGTAGAGGAGTTGCTGCTGCTCTATCAGGGAAAGGATTTTAAACCTGGAGCATTTGAAGACATCAGGGAAAGGATTTTGAACCTGGAAAGAAAGTTGGAGGAATGGATTCATGGCAACCAAATAAGCAATGATGTGTTCTTGGAAGGTTCTACTTTTACGAAATGGTGGGTATCACTTCCTCACCAACATAAATACGTCTCTCGAATCCGGGGTTTAATGAATAGATGAGCCGTTTACCATGGCTAGAAGAAACTGATAGACGAGCATTGGGGACTGACTGATCTGGCAGCTCATTAGGTGCAGCTGTCTCACTTGTTACTGTGGGTTTCTGTGTAAGCAATATCTGGTAGTAATTGGATTGCAGAACATGTCCAAACAAGAAAAGCTTTGTAAGGGACAGAGAAAGATGGCATTTATTTAGCTTGGATTTTTGTTATGTATTCAGTTTGATTTCGTTTGAAGAATACTAGCAACAACTTGGTTTGAATTTGATACTTACTATGAAAAACCCAAATCAAGCAATGGCTAATCTTAAATATTCATTTTATACCATGCATTCACTCGAATTAATTAATTTTTTGTTTTACTCATAGCCTAGAGATAAGAAACAAAATTGTAGATCCAACAATGTTAATTTCAAATATGTCGGATGCTATCTTTTTAAGATTATATGAATCAATTGAGTTAAATCTCGTAATACAATAATTGACAGGACAACCTTTTCTTTCCAAAAGTAGTGTAAATAACTAAATATATATATCCTATAGCAATTGACAAGGTTCAAAAACTTCCCGTCAAATAAAGCAATAAAAATTCATATTTATCCACAATTTTTTGAATTTATTGTTGAAGCATAAACCAGACAGAAAGGCCTGCAATGAACAATCCAAGACAGAAACACAATAAGATGTAATTGTGTAGTTGCAGTATTCGCCATCGACTCGACTACTTTTACAGCACAACCTAATTCTCCTAAAGCATTACTCAAAATCTTGAAAAGGAAAAAAACCGAAACTTTTCCAACACAGTTGTGATTGATATCCTACCAAAGTCAAACAGAGTATACTTTTCACAAGCTTGATAGTGTGCATTTTCCCAATTATAGTTACAATCAAGCATAAATAAATACTCACATGTCCAACATAAAGCCTCAGGGCCCCAACCATGATAGATAACAAGCATAAATTAAAATACTCACTCTCTAACATAAAATCTCGTGCATGCAAAAATAGCTATGCACCAATTGCTCCATGCATATTGAGCATCAATGAATTAAGTACATGTCACAAACATCCTGTTCCTTTGAAATGGAATTGAAGCCATGATTATCATAGCTGCTCATCATTTTTTCAAATATGACACCATAACCTTCATCTCAAACATATATTCTCCTATAGAATGTCATCAATTGACTGCATAAATACATCAGCTTACCCATACCATGATATTACTGTTTATTCCTCTCTGCATTTTATTATTTTTTTCACATCAATCAGAGGTTGCTCCATAATAACTTAATGAAAGTAAAAAAGCCTCCTTCACAACATCTCCCTTTCGGATCAAGGGTACAAACTAGTAATTATACAAATTCACGCATACTCATCCAAAAATGCCTCAGCCATTATTATCCTAAAAGAACTTTACTAAAGCACTGAGACACAACCAGTCAAGTAAACATTTGTCCTTATTAAATTATGAAGTCCTAGAGGATCTCATCCAGTGGACCATTATTATTTGTCAGTTAACTTATACATGGTAAATGAGCAAAATTATGGATGAATAAGCACCTTTGAAAGAAGCAAGCAAGAGTTTTCCTGCTTACTGCTGCTCCTGGTAATATCTGAAAAGATAATTGACACTGATAAACTAAAGATCAACTTCAAACATCATAAAAAAAAAAAAAAACAAGTTCAAGAACAACTTCAAACATCATAAAACAAAAGAACAAGTGCAAGCTCCAACCTATATGTGCAGGCAAATAGGAATTATATTAACAGAAAGAGCACAGCAAAGCATGAGGAACACCGATAAACTAAAAACCTACCAGGAAATATAACTTTCAACCATCACCTGCTTTCTCTTTTCTCATCTCTCTCCCACGTTTATGCTCTTTTCATTGCCTTTTTTGAGCAAACCCCAAAACTTGGGTACTATTCAGTGGTCACATAAAGGGTTGAAAATTAGAAATTTCAGGATTTTCCTTTATTTTTAGTGTTTATTTACAAGCAAAAGTGACAACTTAACAATTTTCAGCAAAAACTATTTAATATTGCACATAACATATTCCAGCTTAATATCAATCAATTTCCTTTCTGGCATGTTTTATCATTAACTAAGATACGACTTTTTTTTCCGAGTGTAATAAAAAAAAGGTTAAAGTAGAATGCCATCACCACTTGTCTAAGCTCAGTTTCTAAAGAATTACACCAGCATTAAAAGGAAATAGATTCAGAAGCCAGAGTCTTACATAAATGGGCAATTTTTACCTGGAAGTTGTCTTTGCAACACAAGAAGCTGTTGACAGTACCTTTCCGAAAGGTGCAAATTTAACTTTGGAAAGTGCAATATTTCCATAGAGACAATCCTTAACTTTTACCTAACAATACCTTGTTGTTTTAATACAAGCAATAATATAAAAGGAAAAGAGCAATGCAATGTACAAACAGCAGTACTCACTTTCAGGAGTCAACTTCCTTTTCATGAGCCAAGGACTTTACAAAATCAAACACACTATAAATCATCAATAAATCAATTTCGAGAGATCAATACCATGGTAAAAGAATGACACTCAAGCCCTAATTATACAATAAAACACCCAGAAATGGAGGAATCGTCAGTGTATGTAGTGCCTTGTAAGCCAAGGATCCCACCCACTAGCACGTGCAAAGAGTAGAGCCAATGATACAGAAAAGGTGAGAACTTGATGTAAAAAGCAAAGGGAATTATTAGTTATTACACAGATAACATTAGAAAACATTTTTCTCCATGCACAAGTGTAAGCAAACATGGAAACACAGACGTCTGAAAATTCCTGTTTGAGAAAGAAGAATATAAAGTGGATCAGAGTTAACTTTAAGAAGGGATGGGAGTATCCCAACACGGACAAAAGAACCATCAGAAGGAGATTGTTGCAGTGATAGGTTAAAATTAGCATTTCATTTACTTAGTGATACCATATTTGAAATTGGAAAATCTTGTCTTTGCCCTCTATACAGGTGTTACAGACTAAAAAAGCACAATCTCCAAAAGATTTCATAGGAAGTCACCAGCAGTTACTGTTCAACCATCATTTTCATACTCACTTTGACCTTTGATTATCATCAAATGCGTGTTAAATATTTAGCATTTAACACGGACAAAAGAACCATCAGAAGGAGATTGTAGCAGAGATAGGTTAAAATTAGCATTTCATTTACTTAGTGATACCATATTTGAAATTGGAAAATCTTGTCTTTGTCCTCTATACAGGTGTTACAGACTAAAAAAGCACAATCTCCAAAAGATTTCATAGGAAGTCACCAGCAGTTACTGTTCAACCATCATTTTCATACTCATTTTGACCTTCGATTATCATCAAATACGTGTTACATATGCTCTAAAGTGTCAGACTAAATATGAAATCCTTCCACAAGCCTCAGTAAAATACTCAAGAAATGAGCCTTAAACCTTTCATAAATGGTGATTGGTTAGATAAGTTTTAGGATCAGTTTGAGAACATTTACAACTTCAGAAATTTCAAGAAGAAAAGCTAAAACCTAACAAAATCATTCAGGTTTGGCATACATCTGTTCCTATTAACATCTACAATTTGCATATACCAACAAATCAATGAAATTATAAGATGCCTAAGCATATAAAGTACCATTATGATACTAAAAGTAACTTATTTTGATCCTCTTTCAAGTGTTGAATTTCTAAGCCATCTTATCCCATACTAAAGATTGTCATATTAATGCCAGTAAAACCCTAAGGAATTTGTTAAAGAAAAAAAAAACAAATTACAGAATATTAAGAGTAATGCAACTAACAAGAAAACCGGATGCTCATAATTATTTGATATTAAAAGCATAATTAAATAAAATTTGTAATTCTAATATAGAAAGAAATATCATGGAAGTAGGAAACACTGGGAGGCAGGAAACTTATTATAGTATTCTTTATGTATTGAATTTCTATACCACTTATCTATTCACATGCCAAGATGAGTCCTCTACATCAACTCATCCACCATACAGATAAGAACCAAACTCATAAAACATATCTGAATTCCCGGATGCCAAAAGAGATAATAATATACTCACATCTAAATCTACAAAAACCAGAGTCTATCACTAACAAAACACGCAATGAAGGCGGAAAAAAAAAAGGAGTAACCCAACATACGTAATTCATCACAACAAAGACTGCTCCTAAGACCTTGCAATCATGCTACAAGAACGAGCCAACCTAAATGTCAGACTGCCTCCTTGAACAGTAGCTTCAGTCTCCAAGGGATCATGCTCATATGGCTTCCTGCAACCAGGACAACGTCCATCCTCCTCAAGAATCCTTTTGTGGCAGAAAAGACAGAGCCGGAAACCACACAAACAGGGCAAAAAACTTGAGTCCGTGAAATCCAAATCCTCATAGCATATGGGACATGATGATGGCACCGGAAATGCACTGCTACGTGCCCATGACACCCCTCCTTGACCAAAATGCCGGTCAGTAGCTGGAAAACTTCGCTGCTTTGACAAATTAGGAAGAGTCTGTGGACGAAAAGCATCATCAGCCTTCCATGCCCTGCTATTCCCTGTTGCCCTCTGCACCATTCTTGGACACTCAGGCTTTGCATTCCTCAAATCTGATCCCGCCCCATTGGAACCTAACTGGGGACTTGGCTCATGCCCAGGGGTAGATCCTACACAAGGATTTTCCCTGTTATTCTCGTTCCGCTCCGTTTCTTGCTTGTCATCATCAGCAGCCAATGCATCAGCAACCGCCTCCCAATCATCCAAGCATCCATTATCTCCTTCTTCTTCCGTGATGCTACCGGAACAGCACCCGCCACTGCTCGTGCTACTGCTGCTACAGCTACTGCTGCTGCTATTGGTGAAGCTTATCCCGGAACCCGTTCCTCCCAACAGGCCGATGCTTGTGGGACTATTTGAAGGCGAAGACTCAGAATCGCTCTCGTGTTGGACCGATCCATTTTCTCCTCCTCCGTTAGCCTCATCAATTCTCCTCATCTCTAAATTCTCCAAGGAACGGTCCCTTTCACCTGGCCGCGTTTGCTTCGAGTCGCCACCATTGGTTCCCTCCTTGCAACAACCCTTGTTCTTTACCGCACCTAATCAAAATCAAAATTGAAAATAATAATAATAATAACGACCTACAAAAAAAAAACCCTAATTCAAAAAGAAAGAAAGAAGAGAAACCATTCATCAACATACTTTGAGAAAGCCATTGCTCGCGGCGGGCATCCAATTTGCACTGCTTCAATTTTGCAGACCTCTGAATATCCCATGAAAAATCAATAAAAATAAAAGAAAAATATATGAAATAAAAATTTAAATATCATTAAAAGAAAACAAAAATAGTATAATAGTCCATACTCTCTTCTTTCTTGATAAATCCTTGCAGTTAGAGGCTGAAGAAGAAATGTTGTTGATCGAATCAGAATCCATAGCTTCCAACGAAAAAAAGAGAGATTTTTTAAAACAATTTGGAGATTAAAAAACCCCTAATCTGGTTTTTTTTAGTAGCGTTTTTGATTGAGTTCTGTTCGTTTTGGCTTCGAGAGAGAGAGAAGGAAATACAAAGAATGGATAACGGAAACTTCGCTGCTCCGCTCAACCTTTCGATGCCATTGATTCTTCTAAACAGGGCCCAAACCTCTTACTTATATACCGTTCATGTGACGAAAATACCCCTAACTTTTAACTTTAACTACGCATAACCCATCGGTTAACCCCAATTTGTAACTTTCACCGTGGGAGGCCCAACAAAATGAATCCTAAGAAACTGTTTGGTACGAACTCATCATCTACAAAATCATAATAATTATATATGATAATTATATTATCGTGTGAAATAATTATTTAGTTATTTTAAATGAGGGTGATTTTGATACATCAAGATTATTGTCTCAGAAAATAATTTAATTTTAATTAAAAAATTTTAAAAATTTTATTATCAAGTTAAAATGATATATAAAATTAATAATAATTAATATTATATTGTGTATAAAAAACTTGTTTTTTTTAGAATTAATTGTAATTATTTTATATATTGTAAATTTTATATTTTTAAATTAATATTAATTGTAACAAGTTTAAAAATAATTTGTGTGAGTTTTTAGAAAAAATTTACTTAAATTTATATATAATAAATTTATTTATTTTAATAAATTATTTTTATTTTTTAATTTAAATATTTTATTACATAATTTATACTATAAAAATTAGTTTACCTATCAATAAATATATTTTTTAATTTAATAATTTTATTATATTTTAATATGAATTTAGTAAAATATTATTAATATTTTACAAATTATTATCTTTAAATAACATTGAAATCATTAACATTTGTAGTTATTATAATTTGTATGGTTATTTTAGTATTTTCAAATAAAATAATATTTAATTTTTAGTAATACTAGATGTAGTGATTTTTAATTAGTAAAAATTAATAATTTTAAACCAAACAAAGTGATTTGTGTGGCAAAATTATTTTAGTAATAAGATTATCTCAACAATTAAATTATCATGATAATTTTGAAAATAATACCAAATGGTACCTAAAAAAATTAAGAATTTATGAGGAAGTTACCAATTTGATTTGGCATGAAAGTGAACCATAAGACGTCAGATGCATAAAAATTTATATTAGAGTTTTTTTTTTTTTTTTTAAATTCTTAATCTACTTTGAATTCTCTATCTTTATACTTATTGAATTAAGAGAATATTACACACTTAAGCTTCTTTGAATGCGTAAATTAATATCATGTCAACTGATTTAAAAATCAGTAATCAATATTAATTAAAAGTTAATTAAACATCATAGCATTTTAATGATTAATAGCATTTTAAAAGATTTATGAAGATTTATACTAGGGTGGCAAGGTTAGTCGTAATTACATTTGAAATTATGTTAATTTTTTTAATCTCAATATATTTTTTAATATTTTTTTATAATTTTTTCTTTTATTTCAAATTACCTTTTTTTTTTTTTTTTTTTTAAATTGAACTATCTTTTTATAAAAAATTACAATTATCTTTAATCCTTTCTTGGCTTTATTATGGCCTTCATGGATTATGGTGGATGGCGAAAAGGTATATCTTTTTCTTGACTTTTATTATAGATTAGGGTAGATAATGAATAAGTATTTAACAGATTTTTTCTGCCATGTCATCAATTTAAACCCAATTGATATTGCAATTAAATGCCATTTGTATATTAATTCCATGCCATCTATTTATTTTCAAAGGCATGTGTCGACTTGGTTGTTTGTCTGTTAGTTAAAAAACTGGCTTTGGTTTGAACGAAGTTTTAAGCGTTTAAAAATGATTTTGGTTTGGAAGAATATGCAGGTTATTATTATTATTTTTTCAAATGCTACCATTCATCACTGTTAGAGTATTCTTTTCTCTTCGACGGAATCTATCTGCCTTTTGGTTTTAAAGATGTGACCAACTTCTGTTTTTTTTTTTTTTTATTTAAATTTTTGTTTGCATTATATATATTTTTTATTTCTATGAGTGTATGGTGTCTTTCTTTGACAGTGTTATTGGTCTATGTTGTTTGTGTTAAAATTTTTTGTAAATGGATTATTATTAATTAATAATTTTAATAATTTAATAAAATTAGTTAATGAGTTTGGTTTTATTTCGAGACAAATATAATAGTTCAAATAATTTAATATGATCATTTAAGTGTAAGTTTTGCACATTTAATGTGGTTTTACGGTTGTACAAACCTTTAATTCAGTAAACCTTTAATGAGGAGATTTTTAGGGTTTTAATAATATTTGGCTAAGTTCTCTTCTTCACTTTTAATTAATGATATTTAGAGTCTTCAGTAAGAGAAGAGCAAAGAAAAAGACTTAGCCTCTTCAAGAATTGGTATTACTTCCGTTTATCATTTATAATTGCCCAAATAGGTAAGTAATATGATTAAATTTGATGTTCTAATATTCACGTATGATTATTTGGATATAAAGTTATGTTTACATGTGATATTAGAACATTTTTATGTGAAATTAAGACCCAAATTTATGATTTTTTAAATTTTAATTTTGCATCAAATCAATTTTTTGGGCAAAATATTGTGATTGTCACAATTCAACTTTTTGATATTGTTTTTCCAAAATTGATTTGAGGCTTTTGTTCTCTTATGTGAGAAGATTCAAATTATGTATGGAACATTTCTTGATTCATCTTATAGAGAAAGAAATTGTTAAACATTTAGGTTCAAGATTTGAACAAATTCAATATTTAATTAAAATTTTGATATTTTATGTGCTTTAATCAAAATTGGTTGTTGAATATTGTTACCCATGTGTTTTAAACTTGAAACATGTGTTTTAGTTGCATGTAATTTGAGTTTTAATTGATTGATTATGAAAAAACCATGAATGGAAAGAACATGGTATGAAACCCAAATTGTTTTTATTTGATTAAGTTTGATTCATGTTCTTTTGATACAATTTGAAGCATGGGTTTTGTAAACATATGTGTTAATTAAAGTTTGAAGCATTTAATTATATTAAAACTCAAGGAAAACATGAAAAATTGCGGAAAGAAAATCAAGTAACAAAAATGGGTCAAGAATAGCTATGAACATGAAATTTTGTTCTCAAATTCATGGTGATTTATGTGTTTTTAATGCATTATGTGGCATGGGTTTTGTAAATCCATATATTAATTGCATATTTAAAGGTTTAATTGTAAAAGAAATCATCAAAATTAACTTAAAAATTGACATAAACCTAAACTAGGTCAAATTTGACCCAGTCAAATTGGGTCAACCTTGTTGAAGCTATGAGATGAACAGTAATGAGTTAGAACATTATTGATTTAGTGAACAGTACTATTGAGTCACTAAATAGTGCCATAATTAATAAATTAACCTGTTTGGTTTCATTTTGGATTCGTTTTTGATATTGTTTGTTCTGTTAGTTTTAAAATTTTATGCTGCATTTATTTATTATTTTTATAAAACTTTTAATGGCAAAAAATATTTATTATATAATATTTATGCATGATTCAATAATTATTATATTTTATGAACATAATTTTGTTATTTTATTTTATAATAAAATATTTTGGCATGCTTGGAGTCTATTGAACGTGCGTACCTTCTTTATATGTTATTTAAGATTTACATACTCTTAGTCTAAATTTTTTGTGCATAATTAAATAATTTTAGTAAAATTTATTTTTACTAGTTTTTGGTTATCCATTTAGAATGCAACATGCACTATTTTAAAAGGTAAGTTAGGTTTAAATTCCATGAGATTTGGGTACAGCTAGTATCAAATTGGTAATTTATTTTATAATTTCATTCGATTGTATAAGGTAGTTGGAGTTTAAAATTGTTGCCTTAATTTGATTTTTTCCTATGACTATGTTGACAATATGAATCATTGTTAATTTGTGAAATTTTTATTTTTGGTACATAATACATAAGAATAAAGTATTGAATGGAAATATTAAATTGTACATAAAATTCAAAATACTTGATTTGAATGCAATAAATTACTTATTGATATAGTGAGACACATCCGGTTTAAGTATTTCACAAGAAAAGATCATACCTATAATGATTCATCGATATACATATTAATTATTAGTGTCTTATACAAAAGAGATAGATTTTAATGATGTAAAGATACATCATAGTTAAGTATCTCGCAAGAAGTGGTCAAAATGCATACACTTAGTTAAGTATGTAAACTAAAATTATGGATAATCTAAATTTCTTGGAATAAGAAATAAAATTGGTTAATATGGGTGTTTGACTACTAAAGCGGCTTACTCATTGAGACTTACAAGATTTTCTCATACATAAGAATAAGAGTATTTTCAAATTACCTTATACAATCACCTACCCAAAGGGGGTTATTATGTTTGGTAATTTGGAGTGAACATGAAGTATCATAGTTAATGGTATACTGGTCAAAAGGTTTGTCTACCTAAAAAGGATAGGCTTTTTGAAAACTAAAATATTTTCATATTAGTTTCATGTTAAAAATACCTAATAGCATGTTATATTCTTTGCCCAAATGGGAGTTTATGATGATGCACTTAGACTTTTCAGTTTAATTACAAATAACATATCATGAGCTAGTGATATTTGTAAGGATTGTTGCTCATATGTAAAAAAAATTGCATTCTTTTGTCTTGAATATTACAGTTAATTTTGGTGATAAAAATTAACTAGCTTTAATTAAAAAAAAAAAGATGATTTAGAGCTTAATTAAGTCATGGGAGTTTTCTTGGACATAATTGTTAAGTTTTGAATATTTTTGTTGATTATTGTTCAATTGTTAAAATGTTACATTTTGTGATGATAACAATCTTTTACTTAAGACAAATTTTAAATCCTTTAAATATTGTCTAGTCATATGAATCCATGAAAATAATTGTCACATGTATGATCAGTAAGTTTATTATATTGCTTTGTTCCAAATATCATTGTTTGAAAAATTGACTTTATGAGTGATCATATTTATGTAAAATGTGACATGTTCAATTAAGTATGGTTATTCCGAGAGCATATGTTATGTATGATAAATATGTTTAGCATGCTTATAATATTTTAATTTTATATACCACATAATTGTGATTTAGAATTTTAGGCATTAAGTTTAAAATGCGATAT